CATATAATTGTCGCCCACTGCTATGAGATTGGCGTGACGTTAGTAAGGGAGTGGGTCATCCGCAGTAGCACAATACAACTCGGGAGGTCCCTGAAATCCTAGAGCTCATGCTGTTACTAAGATCAAACAACAAGAAAATCATTTGTCATATCATTTAAGTTTTATATAAAACAATAGAATCAAAATAAACTAAAACCGCATAGCTGTCTCAAATTCATTATACAATGAAATACATATGAAATAAACCTACAGTCTAATAAATAAAGAAGTGTGATTGAATCAACATCCACATATGACATCTGCTATAGATTCCCTCAAAGCAGCTATCTCTGCTACACCTTCACCATCCTGAGTTTCAAATTCAATCGACTCTGTCTCATCCTCAGGTAATGATTGCCCCACAAGAGATTCTAAAGGTTCTGGTGTTGACCTCACTTTTGGTTGAGGTCTAGAAACTTCATTAGTAGCCTAGGTCTAGCCATAGGACTTTTCTATTGTCTAGTCTTAGAAAACTAGAAAAGGTACCCTCACCATTAGAAACTCAAAACTCTTTTCTTTACTCGACTTGAAGTTCCACATATTGGTCATAACCTCTAATATTTAGAAGTTAAGATCATTAAGGGGAAGCTCAAGAAGAGTTCCTATAGGGTTACTTGGCCTTAGAATTGACCCTGGGTGTTGATTCGGAGCAAAGGTACACTATACCCTCACCATATCTTCACAATACCCTCACAATACCTTGAATAAGACCAATATATGAGGACCCAAAATGGGATTTCATTGATCTATGACTCATTTAAAATGGTTCTCTATCTAATTCTACTTGAAATGCCCAACTTGGTCTTTTGCCCCTAGGCACCTCCAAATTACATAACTGCCCTTGGGACCCAAATTTGGCCAAAATTCCCAAATTTGGCCAAAATACCCAAAACTGATCAAAACTCATTCCAAACACTTTGAATGTATCCAAATTTGTCAAAACTGACAAAAATGGCCAAATTACCAAAATGCCCCTCCATGGCCCAAAAACCTAAAAATTCCAAAAATTCCCAATAAATCCCAATAAATCCAAAATATTCCCAATTTCATTTTGTCCAACTACACCATGGTCCAATTTGGTCAATTTGACCATCTTTGACCAAAACCCCCAATTAGCCCCAATATTGCCTAACACCTCAAATCTCAACAATTGAATGCCTTAAAC